CGCCGCTCCTCAGCCGCGTTCCTCGCTCCAGCGCTTCCGGGAGCCTCCTCAGTCCCAGCTGATGCTCTTCCATGTGTTTTACCAACCCTTTAGACTGAAACGTCCCTGAGCACAGCGGCCCCACCACCTCTCCCTGTTGGAAAATATACGGATTTTCCTACAGCTTCGGCGACATCCCCGCAGCCCGGGGCACAGCAAGGCTTCAGCGCTGGAAAGGGCCTGGGCTCGGGCACCTTCCAGCAGGCCCCACAGGGACCACAGGCACTCGGAACCTGCAGCAGCCCTTCCCATCAAAGACCTTCTGGCAAAGCCCACCATCCCCAAGAGCAGCTCCTGTCCTGCATTTATCCTCCCAGGAGAACTCCTGCCCCAGCAGCTGTCCCTGTGAGGCTGAGGGCACATGGCAGCCCCCCAGCCCAGCAGGGCACAGCCAGAAATAACAAGGCACAGAGCACACCTCGGCTTCCATCTCGTTTTGCCAAGAGTCACCTGATTGTGAGGGGAAAAGGCTGAGCAGCACAACCTCCTAACAACTTCCAGGTGCCCCTTTTCTAGATCAGGTTCATTAACATTCCTCATTAACACCTGTGGGGCACCACCTGTCAGCAGTGCCTCTCAGGTGTGGCATCAGATACAACATTTTCCTATTTAAAGTAAAATAAAAGGAAGGGGGCTCATGTGTGTGTAAGTTGTGTCCTGGCATGAGGGTTCTTGGTTAAAATAACACAGGTATTCTATGGGCAGCAGACACAACACTTTTATACTGTGTATTTTTACCTCCACTCAGCATGAAAGAACATGGAATTAGGGACCAGATATTAAACTCTTACAAAACCGAAGTGTTATGGTCACCACGGGCTGCTGTGTGCTCATTCCTGGAGAGGAGCAGAAAAGCACAAAGAACTGTTTTCCATCACTTACTCGTTACCACTGTACCTCTTTGAACCGGGTGTCCTTCACCATTGACAGCTCTGGCAGTTTGTGGTGGAGTTGCAGCCGGTGAAGCAGGTAAAAAACACGAGCCCAGGGAGGTCAGCAGAGCTCAGCCCCAAACTCTGCTCTGGCAGTCAGAGCTTTCTCACTGCTTCATGAGCTGCAGGACCCCCAGTGCCTCCAACCACCCCCATATGGCACTGGCAGGGTCAGATGTCACCATCACATCAGAGAACCATTTAGGTTCTAAAGACCTTTAAGATATCAAGTCCAACCATTAACCCAGCTCTAAGGTGTGTCCCTAAGCACCACATCCACATTTGAATTTTCAATACCTCCAGAGTTAGGGACTGCACCACTTCCCTGAACAGCCTATGCCATTGCTTGGCAAGCCTTTCAAGGTGATGAAATGTTTCCAAATATCCAATCCATTGATGCAACTTGAGTCCATTTCCTCATTTCCTATCACTTGGTGCTTGGGAAAAGAGAGGTCAAGCAGATATAAGGGTGTTCTGAAGAACAAAACAGGTCACCACTCAATCAAGTAAGTTATTACACCTAAAGACACCAGCCGACTGAGTGTGCAAGGTGTCTGATTTTAGTAAATTGACTGAATAATTGAGATCTGAAGGGCTGATCCCAGTTAGCTACAGCAAATGTACATAGGAACCACCAGTGGCAAATAAGCAAGCGATGAAAGCTGCCAAGAGTGATCCTCAAAGTTACATAAACAACAAATATGTCACTTTTCCATTTTATGTCTCCCATGATAAACTGTTATGAGACATGCACATGGCTTGAAACAGATAATTGTTGATAACCCTGACTGGTGGGAGAAGGAGCCATCTGGCAGATGGAAAACAAGAAGGTGCCAAGAATTTAGCAGACTAGGGGGCCTGCGAATTTATGCATAGAGGTCTGCAGAGAGGAATATTTAGACAAAAGTTCAGCAACTCTGTTTCTATCTATACACAAAACAAATTGGAACATCAAAACTATCTGAATAATTATGAAAATTATTCCTGTTTGAAATTCATCTTGAAACTGTGAGGAAAATCAGTGAATCTAAATCTGTGAACTTAGAAGTGAGGAATTCTTTCTGCATATCATGATTAATCACAAATGGGTACAGCACATAGCATCACATTTCTTCTTCTGTCCTTCAGGTTTCTATCCTCACCGCCTTTAACATGCAAATGCCTTTATTCATCCTCTCCTGACCTTGCAGCATGGTATCATTTGTTTCTTTCAATTTTCCTTAACAGTATTTCTTTCTTCTTATAGCAGAGAAAGAGCAATGTCTGATAAACCTCTCTTTGTATTCCCTTCCTTTCTTCTAAGTGAATTTCTTTTGCCTTTGCTCTCCTCTTTATCCCTCCTGGGTAGAACAAGGGATATTGCTGGATGCAGCGTTCTAATTGTGAATCCACATTTTTCCACTGAGATCACTGCTCATTAGCCACTTTGCTGCTGACCCTTTGCAACAGCTGAGCTGCAGCCAACATCTCTTACAGCTAAAGGGAAGTGAGGACATGACCCACATCAGTAGTCACAGGCAAAACACAATATTAATAAATTTATGTAACATATTTAGTGATTTTGGGGCTGGTTTTGCTGAAGCATCATGGATCACCACAAGGACCACGGAGCACTGAGGTTGTCCAGGGAGATTGTGCAGTCTCTGTCCTTGCAGCTTTACAAGACCCACCAAGATAAAACCTGCAGCAACTTAGTTTGATCTCATAAGCTGACCCTGCTTCAAGCAATAGTTTGGACCAGAAACCCCCAAAGGCCCCCTCCAATACAAATTTGTGAGGCCACGACTTCTAGAGGCACCCTGAAATATAACTCTCACTGACTCCTGCATAATATTCCAACTCCAGTGAAAATGGCACATGCAGATATTCTTCAAAATCACACTTAAAGATTACTAAAATCTTCAGATTTCTTAATATTGTATCTGTGGAGTTCCTTCCAGTTATTAACTTTCACTTCAACTGATGCTGGGACAAAGGTGGCTCAGCAGATCCTTTGTCACTCAGGCTGCTTCACTAATAATGTTTAATTTGGGGAGTTCCTGCAACCACACTTTCATCTTGTTTTTCAGCATGAAAGTCCTATTCCACTCAAATCCCATCAGAATAATGAAATTACATCCAGGCAGAAGTTTGCAGTACCTCATACTAAAAGCCCTGCAGGCTGTGCTGGCTACTCACCAATTTTTCTGAGAGGAAGAGATGCTAACCTACCACTCAACCTCAAATCCCTTCCCATCACCCTGTTTATAACAAGCATATTCCTGTCTCAGAACTGCACTGGACATCAGAGAGCTCACCCACATCAGTTGGTGTAAATGTGTCTCTCACATGCAAAATTTTCTTCTGTGAAGAAATAATACACATATTTTAAACCTTTGTGTTTTAGTCTAGAAGCAGATGATTCTTTAATCCCAGTTCTCTCATTTTCAAGGCCATTATATTATGATTATTTTTTCATAGCTTTCATGGTGTTGATCTGTGTGAGGAATTCCAGCTCTTCATGGATCGAGGGAAGACAGGACACTTACATTTTGCACTGATTCTCACTGACTTTGCAATGACCCAGACTCTGCACAGTCAATAATGCAGGCCCATTCTTGTGTTCCTTTCATAATCTCATGATGCAGGGAGCCCCGAGCTGCAAGTTAAAGTAAATACAAGGAAATTTTCCAATTTCCAAATACAAAACAGTCTGTGTTGTACCAATTTTATGCATTTTCTTTGCAGCAATGATAACTTACATGCAGGATCATGGATGTCATGACAGAGAAGAGCTGTTATTTAGACACATTAACAGAACTCATTTGTTGCCAGGGAACCCAAATAAACCAGATAAACCTTATCTTTTACTGTAAATGTGTGCAATATAATGAGTATTGCTGAAATGTTATCCTATGTATTCTTTAATTATAAAACATGCACATTTTTGTAAGATCTTGCTCAGGATCTCTGATACAGAATGCAAACCCTATGTCCTGACTGCCAGGATAACTTAGCAGAAAGCACAGACAGTTTAAGTCACATATATCAATGGCAAGCAGTCTCACGTTCTCTTAGAGCCTCCAAATTAAATCTGCTTACCTTATTCATATGCATAATTCCAGCAGAGTAATATTTATACAACACCCTTAATTGAAATGGCAGTAGAATAACATTTTTGATCCATTCAATGAAGTAACAACAGAGGAGCATTTGCCCCATGTTCAGTCTTTTCATGTAAAGCAGCCCCACAGCTGGGCACAGCTGGCATTCACCTCTCCAAAGGCACCCATGCCTGCATTTATGGGATGCACAGGAGCAAAGCTGGGACACCAACTCTTAGACCACCTGTGAGGTGTGCAAGGGCTCACATAAACATTAAACACCTTTCATTTTCAGCACACCACTAGCAAATACAAATGAAGGGGGAAATAATCTCTCTAGTCTTCTCATGGCCTACAGGATGAGAAACACTTGTTTCAGAATTGCTTATAACCATCAGTATTTCACCTCTGAAGATCTAAGCTCTAATCATAATGGAAATACAAGGTTTGTGGGTTTAAATTATGTTCCTCTTCCCAGTCATGGCACGATGTTTCATGTCTGACAAATTACAAAGTGATTGGAAAAATAAGGGACTTCCTCCTTTTGTTAAGAAAGAATGAAAGATACTTGATCTAACTTTTTTTTCATTGTCAGCTCCGAGGTTAGCAGCAGCAACTTGCACACTTTCACAATGTTGTGGTTTCGTTGATTCAGTGGAAGACAGAGAGTTTTCCTGTTTTCATGCACTGAGTGATCACTGCAATTTACCACACCTGTTTGATGTTCTGGCTTTGTTCACAGCAGAAAGCAACACGTAGTAGCTGCCCATTGGCCCTTCTCTTCCATCAAACCAACGTGCCAAGTCTTCAGAAGCATCTCCCTCCCATGCAGCTGAGTGCACCCTGTACCTTGTTTATGCTATTGATTCTTCACCAATACAAGCATTAGATTCAGCTGAAAAAGCACACTGTAATTATTAAATCAGACAGAAAGCAAACCCAGGACTATATTCAAGCTTAAAAGTCAAGTTTATTCTCACCACAGCTAGCTGTCTCTCCTCACAAAAGGAAAACTTCTTTTGTAACCATGTCATCTTTCTGATACCCTATTTTTTAAAACTTTTTTTCAATCTGTTTGGCATGTTAAAGTTCCTCTACTTCTATTTCCTGAATACAAAAAAGGGGTAAAAATCATCTTTTAATTGTCAGTTGTTCACATACATATTTAATAGAGCAGCACTAAACATAGGGTTTAGCCCACCAGCGTTTTACACAAGCAGGATCCCATTCAGCTCTCCTGAAGCTTTATCTGAACAAACATGCAGTCCTTTATTTTCACAAAATGAACATTGCATTATTTCTTCTGTTCACCACAGCACACCAGGGCACAGTTGTACAGTATGTTGGGTGATTCCTTGCTGCAATGCCGTAGGTGGAGCTCAAACTATGGACCAGATTCAGACGCTGTAACTCTACTGGCAGTGTTTGTACCGGGAAAGTGAAGCAGGTGCTTGCCATGCACCACTATTAGAAAAGCAGCAAGTGCTCTCTCAGAATGACAGGATGAGCTCTTTAACATAATTAGGAGCCAAAGGACATTTTTGGAAGCTAAGTCAATTGGGCTCATCTGTTTCACACTCCCAGAGGCAATCAATTCCTGTTCACTTTACTCATCCTGAAAACCTTCCCAAAAAAGACCAAGGAATTTTGCACGCAGAAATGACCATGCATCAGCTCCCAAATCAAAGGAGCTTTTGCTGTAACATGCTGCCACGGAAAGGCCCCATCAGGAGCCCCAAGCACAGCTCCCGGCTGGCGGCACGGGAGCCGAGGCGCTGGCATGTCCCGGACAGGGCTGGCGTTCCATGGGCAGCTCCCGGCTCCAGCCGCCCGCCCTGCCCGCAGCAGCGCTGCTGGAGCACACACAGACCAGCCAGGGCAGGCCAGGGGGAGCAGGCAGCCTCAGAAAGCAGGCACGGAGAAAAAGCAAGCACCGTGCTCTACAAGCAGGTCAGATTTTCAAGCACTGTCCCCGGACACTGAAGAAAATAAAAAACCCTGCTGGGTACCGTCCACAGCCAAACACCCAAAATCCTCTCAGCACTGCACTGAACATGCACAGTGGTAACACAAAACACATCATTCCACAACAACACGAGTACCTTAATCTGTGTTTGAAATACCAAACTAACTATGCCTCATGTTTCTAGCACTGCTGTCTGGAATCTGGGAATACATCCTAGCAGGCCAATTAAAAGATCTCCCATTGCTAGATTTTATGTTATTTCACTGATGGTGAAAATGAGCCGAGGGAAACAACATGTAATGCAGTCATTCAGCAAGTGTATAGGCAACCTTATGCAATAATCTTTTAACTAGTTTATTAAATCTTTTTCCTTTTCAGAATAAATTCAACATCTAATGCCAAAATTTCATCAAGAACTCAAAAATCTTAGTAGCCAGTTATCAGCTGTTTGAGTTACAAGAAATAGACATATTACACATCACTAAAATTTTCACACATACACCCACACACACACACACACACGTATCAGCATCCTGTTTATATTATTTTCACAAATCAATCTCCTTTTTCCTACTCATACTCTTCACATTTTCTGAAGGCACAACACCCAAATAGGCAATGTAAAATGTACTTCCTGTAGAAAAGTCTGTAGTCTCCTAAGAGAACAGTTTGGCAAAACTACGTTTGTTTAAAAACTCAAGTTCCAAAATGAGCCTTCAAAGAGCAGCAGAGAACACCAAGATTAAAAACTACTTAGGGTGTCTGCACTTTTCCTATGCAACACACCACTTAACCTTTAATAAATCAGGACTTTTCCCAAGAAATTACAAAAGCAGAAGTAGTAAAATCTCTTTTTTTTCTTTTTTTTGTTTAATCATTAAGTTTTAACGATGGGACAGACTCTAGGCAGAGCTCCCAGAAAGAGCCAGACCACCATCTGGCTCCACCACAGAGCAATGACAATTCACAGGCAATGAGTCTCCAACCAGCGCTCTGAAATCAAACGCTGGGCTGGCTCCATAAAAGCTCTGTTACAGCCATGAACACACAGCTGTACATTTCCTCCCTCTTCGTACATAAATATACCCTCAGACACAGACAAAGGGAAAAAATAAATCATTTTATGCATTTTTTCTATGCTTCCCTGCTCTGTCTGTTACCAATCAATGTCAAGAAATATCTTACATCTTATGTTTTGTTAGCACTATAGAATATATAGAATATATATAATTTTATTTTTGTTGTCACACATGCTAATGTTTCCAGTATGATAAATGTCTTTTTAAATCCTGCATTTCTTGTCACACTGTAGATCCACTTCTATTTGACAGTGACTCCTGGACATACACGTCAAGACAAAAATAAATACTGCTGCGATGGCAAACGTTTTCAAACTCTTAGGACAATAATACAGTGGCACTTGAAAGACTTTTAAAATACAACAGAAAAGACAATAGTTAAATAGAAACCTGCTTTGACACAGCCATGAAACCTGCACTACACTTGCAAGATCTGTATTTGTTTCTGCAGGAGCAGCTCCTGATCTTTGAACACATCAAATGTTGCACTCCAGCCCTCCGCCCATACCCTTTAAGAAGTCCACGTTGTTATTTTAAGCAAGCATCCCCTCAAGCTGTACATAAGCAACACTGTATTTCCCAAACAATTGAGGTAATTATAAAAATGAATATCATTTATTATTTCCTTTTATTACTATCATGTCTGAACATTTGCTTTCATACAAAAGTCTGATTATCAGCATTATGTTTTCCAAGGGCATCCCCTCCGCACCAAGGGAGATAAAGATGTGTTAGGAATTGTGCAAGAGTTTTTGTTACCATCTTCAAACCCACAAGAACTTCATGAACACGATATTGGTGCAGAATAACTGCCTGGCGTTTTAGAGAAGGTGGAAGGGGCTTTATACAGATTTTCAGTTCCACTTGATTTTTTTTAAACCGCATCTAACTCAATGCAACGGGGGCGGGTAAAAAAAAAAAAAAAAAACCACATTACTGTAAGTTACCCTTCAGCAGTCTTTGGAGGAAATCGGAGCCCAGGCTGCTTTTCCCGGCTCCCTCCCTCCCTCCAGGCAGCCGGAGCGGCTCCTCTGCCCGGGCGCCCGGCGGGCGCCGCTGCCCCGTCACAGCCGCGGCTTCCTGAGCAACGTTCTGCTGAGGTCCTTCACCTCCTCGGGGCTGCCGACCCGCTCGTAGCCCAGCAGGGCCATGGGCTGCTGGCAGTACTCCTCGACCTGCTTGATCTGCTGGTAGCTGAGCGCAGTCCTCCAGGCACTCAGCGCCTGGGTGGCGTTCCTGGCCGACACCACGAACGGCTTGGAGGAGTAGCCGGGGCCACTGGTCATGTTCAGGGCGAACTTCTCCATCTCCGGGCTGACTGCCAGGTTCACAAAGCCGTACACCTGCCGCAGGGTCTTGATGGGCTCCACCACCAGGTCCTCGTAGCGCACGGCCATGTAATTGCCCTGGAGCCAGTCAGGGGGGTGCAGAGCAGTCTGCAGGGTCTTGGCCATGCTGCTGCAGATGACCTCCATGGCACCCAGGGCATGGTAGTCCGAGCCGCCCGCCTCCTTCTTCCCGCCTAGCTTGTGGCCAGCATCAAGGAAGGGCATGCGGTGGATGTGGGGGTCCCGGCTCCTCACCACCTGCAGGCTCTCCCGGATGAGGCCGTGGCGGGACTTGATGCGGGAGCTGGCGACGGCCCGGGGGTCCCGCACCAGATGGATGACTTTGAGGTCCAGGGTCGGGTCCCGCATGAGCGGGGCCAGGACGGCCAGGTCAAAGACACGCACGCCCTTGATGACCAGCGTGTGGTACTTGTGGCATTCCTCCTGGAAGCGGCTGAGGCGCTGCGGGGGACACTTTTTGCACACCCGGTCGTCCACCATCCCCACCACCTCCTTGCGATAGGCCGGGCAGAGGGGCGAGGAGCAGATGACCTTGTTGGTGGCCGCCCCGAAGATGCCGAGCGTGGTGAGGTTCTTGCCGGCGCCCGCCGTGCTGTAGAGCTGGAAGACGGAGAGGTCGCATCGGTACAGGGAGCTCAGCATGTCGCGGGCCGCCCCTTGCAGCGAGACGGCGTCACCGGGGTACAGCTTCTGCCAGACGTGCCACACCGGCTCGTAGAGGAAAAAGACCTCGGGGTTCTGGTTGAAGAGCTCCCCGAAGAAGGACGAGCCCGAGCGCCAGGTGGTGAAGACATAGACCAGCTGCCGCCGGGCGCCCGCC